ATGGGCAGAACTAGGTGGAAGAAGGCACTCTGCCAATTATTGAGAACCTAAACTGTTTAGGGCTTTGTCAGCACCTTTAAATTGATGTGGAAGTGAATAGGTAACCAGTGTAAGGTGACCAGGTTGGGGAAAATATGATGGAATCTTTTCACCCGTTAATAGCCTGGTTGCAATGTTCTGAACCATTTGAAGCTTCCGCATCAGTCTCAAATGAAGCCCGTAGAGGGCATTACAGCAGTCTATTCTTCAGACTATGAGCGCATGGACAAGTGTGATGAAGGCCGCTGCGTCTCGATAGGGATGCAGTTGGTTGATTTGCTCAAGATGTCAACGGGCGAACTGAACCACAGATGCTACCTGGGTCTCCATGGTAAGCACCAGGTCAAGATGAACCCCTAGATAGTGAACCACACTGTCTGCAGTGAGAGTCACCCCCCCCAAAAGAGAGGGAGCTTTCCAAAGCACTGACATGTAGAGCTGAGTGTCATCAGCGTACTGATGACAGGAGTCTCTACACCCCACACAGACTACCTTAATATTATGCATTCCAGTTTTATTTGTTTTGCTTTGAGGTAATGCTGCAGACTATCTAGCTTCATAATACCCAGATGGGACCATCATCAAGTATACTGTGAGTCCTACTGTCAATGTACAGGAATTACAAATCCCTAATGAAGGTGAGGCTGACATGACTCTTGCACCTCAGCCATCTCTGCAATGTCTCAGTATGACCATCTTGGAAACAACCATGTGATTTTTGCCTGCACGTGTAGGTAGCTATCTAGAAGGTAATGCACAATTACTTTCATCAGAGGACCAACCACATGATTTTGGACTAGGTGCTTAGAATTATCTGTACAAATGAAAATATTTGACCACCTTTCTATTAAATGGGCCATCTAGTACATAAGGAAGTTAGCAGGTGGGGGAAGCTTGGAATAGGAAATGCTCAGGCAGATGGACTTTATGTTGCCTAGGCTGCTTCCTGTCTTCTTAGTTATAGCAGGGGTGGCCCGTATGAATCCCCTTCCCATTTTTGTAACTTCTGGAACCACCTTACACACACCTCAAAGGGAGAATTCTGGCTTCTAGAAGAGTCTAGGTGAATTCCCCTCCCTCCCCCAAAAAGTGAGGCACAGATGTATCCTCCACTTTGTTTAACCACTCAAACAATGTTTTGAGAAAATTGGAAATGCATTTCTGGCCACTCCTGGTTTCATCTGTGGAGAAAGCACAGCACACATATGTTTTCAAGGGTAAATATTGCTAATGGAAATTTTGATAGATTTGCTTTTCTTGTCTTTCCAGTTTTGCTTGGTCAGCAACAGTTACTGAGATTTGCAGTTAATATTTGAATGTTTCTTGCCTATTTGGCAGCAGTTGCTTAAGCGTCACTCTCCAATTTAGATGATTGTTCAAATACAGCTTGCTAATTGGCAGACTGAGCCATTTCCCTTTTTTACTGATAAAATACGGTATATAACTTTTGTAAAGGCACCACAGAGGCATGTTTGCTTTGTCTCTGTACTAGGTGTTACCTTTCACCTATAAAGTAAACACTGCCTTTATTTTCATTTCATTTGCTTTTTATTGCCTCCATCATCACCAAGAGAAGGAACTTGAAACTAAGAGGATAAAGATGTGACTGTATTGGTTGTTTTGGTGTGGGCTGGTGTGGTCTAAATAAGGTCACTTGAATACAGCGAGAGGAGCAGTATGCCATTTGGCATGAACCATGCATCCAAATGGGACCTCAACCTCAAACGACCCTCCATCTCCTTCTGCTATCAATTGCATACATGCTCTTCTGTGGAGAGGCAGGGGAAGTGAAATTAGTATTTTTGCTGGTGGTAGACCATTACTGATTGATTGATTGACTGACTGATTGATTGCTTTGACTTTTACCCCGCCCATCTAGACTCAAATGAATCTACTCTTACAGTCCAAGCAATATAAAACAAAAATTAAAACAGACAATATCCCCCCACCCAAAAAGTTACTGATCCACTGAATCACTTAGATTAAATTATTATTATTTTATTTGCCTTGTGTGTAGTGCTGACTGAGATACTGTCTGCAGTTGCAGTTTCAATTGGCAGTTCACACAAAGGCAAAGATATTTTTAAACTTAATCTAAGTGATCAAGTGCAACAGAGGTGGTCTAGCAGAGTTAAAAAAAAGTAATTTCACTTCTGCCTTGCCATTCAAGAACATAGGAAATGTCAGTATTCTGATATCCCAAAGTGGCTTGCTTATTAAGCCACTTCATGACACCAGAACTTGACACTGAAATTTAATAAGCCTGGGTCACCTAGTAAAACTGACTCACTTGTGGCCCAGTTTAAGGTTCATTGAGTCCCTGGATGCCAGGAAGACATTTGCAATGTCAGAGTCTTCTTTCCCAGGCACCTTGAACTGGGGGAGGGCTCTGAGAAGCATGCTCCTGGCCAACCAATCAGGAATGCCCAGCGGTGCTTGGGGGTGGTGCTTCTGGTTTGGAGGACTGGATTGTTGCAATTTTCAATCTGGTTCACCAGGCGAGGATATAAAGGGAGCTTCGGGCTCTTTTCTGGAATCTTCAAGCAGAATTCACCCACCCGTCCTTCCCTGCAATGTGTATGGCTGTTTATGTAATTTTAGGTGTTTGCTATATCCTTATACATTATACATCTGACCACTTTTGCTACGACTCTCTTGGTGGCAGCAGAATGGGATGTTTTTGTGTGAAGGAGTAGATCTTTGGTGTGAGAGAAGGGCATTCAGCCCCATCTTAGGCAAGCAACACCCTATGAGGGGCTCAAGAGTGGAGGACTGACAGAAGTGTGCCCGGCTTAGAGGGGGTGCCACCATTCTCCACAACTGGAGCCAATGGATCTCTCACTCTTAGTGGCTCCATGCTCAGGGAAGGGGACATACTCCAATTCTGGTTACCAACTCCCTTGGTAACCCAGCATCATGCTGGGAAGGTGGGCATCAGCTGGTAGGCAGGTCATTCAGTGTTGGGATGTTCTCCTCCTGCTGTGCTGGAATGATTTATTTATACATATCCTGTCATAACGGCTAAAAGATCTTGAATGACTTGCCTTTAAAATGTTTTCTACTTGCTTGTACCACAGCTTTTACTTCCTTGCCTGAGCTTGAAAGCACAACTGAAACTACAACTACAACTACAACTACAACTATTCCTGCTGTGCTGGAATGATTCTGCTGCAACCAATCCAAGCAATGGTCTTTTAATGTCCGGTATTAACTTTCTTCCAAATAAAATGATACACTTAGAATGGTGTGTGTGTTTCAACTGGCAGGGATGGAGACATCCGGGGTTATCTTGCCTGGATTTATAAACAAGCCAAGATTAATTTAGCATATATATTACAGATGCAACCTTGGTACATTTAGTATAAAGACTTTCATGTCTTATTTATACATATCCTGTCATAACGGCTGTAAGATCTTGAATGACTTGCCTTTAAAATGTTTTCTACTTGCTTGTACCACAGCTTTTACTTCCTGGCCTGAGCTTGAAACCACAACTGAAACTACAACTACAACTCCAACAACTGTAGAAACAACTCCAACTATAAGTAAGAACTTGTTTATTATCACTTTTCTTTTTTAAATTATCAGGTGATTTCAAAGGTGTTTGAAGAAACCAGAAACTCTAGATTATGAAATTTCAACTGGGTGATCTGTTGTAGCAAATTTTAAAAAAAGTTTTATAATATGATATAATAATTGTCTGTAAACAGTTTACATCCAGCTTGTGATTAGGGCAGGGACACACCTCATGAAAAGGCCTTTGGAGTGAGATACTACCCTCACTGCTCTAATCCATTAGATGCCATAGTTATCAGCTTTACTACTTTACACCCATTATGGCCTAAGATTTTGTGGAACACAGGCCATGTTATTCACTCATGTTAAAGGATCAATGTAAGGTCATTATGTGCATGACTATCAGTTTTAGGGGTCACAAAAGAGAGGATACAAACTTATGGTCTTCAGAGTTAGTGAAAATAATAAAGGCCCAGATACACATTTTGGCTGAAATCCCATTTCCCTTGGCTTAGCATAAAGTTATGCCTGCAGAATTTCATGGGGAGTTAAGCACAGGCAGTTACGTGTCTGATTACGCAACCAGTTGTGCAACTCATTGCACAGTCTAGTTGCACAACTAATTGTGCAGCTAGTGGCGCACCTGCACCTGTAGAATTGTTTCCTACATTATGAGGAATCAATATAACTTCCAGTTATGCAGGCATAGCTATGAAACAAGACTGTGGCCAATAATTGGCTTTTTGCATAAAGATGTGAAGGCAGAAAATATACATCAGGGTAATAGAAAAGTTGTATTGTTTTCTATCAGGGGAAAATAGTGGATGGGTGATCTGTAGTAGACAAACTGAAAAGTGAGGCATGTTTCTGCATCATCTCCTCCTCACCATACCTCAACTTGCAGTTTTTCCAGCTGAAATTCCTTTATTTAAAGGATGTCAGGGTAACATTGCATGAGATTGAATCGAAGTTGTGAAAGTCGTTTCTAGACTCATTCTTCATAAAACTTAATGGCTATCATTTTGCATACTTTCAGAAAACTATCTTTCTACAGGATTGTGGTTAATTAATGTTTTTTATTATGGCTATTACCACCCATTGTTTTTACCACTTGATCACATAGATCTGGCAACAATTGCCAGATAAATAGTTTTGCAACTCCCACCTGTGAGTTTCTGTCTCACAGAGAACTGCAGAATCGTTAGAAATGAAGATGGTTCTGGATTTTGCCAGCAAAAGATAATTCATAAAGTCCACAAGGGTATTGTGCATGCTCTTGCACAGCATGAAATAACTTGCCACCCACATCTATTGCATAACATCGCAATGGAAGCATCAGATGAATAGAGGGTCTAGGGGTCTCCTCTAGTATCAGGACCAGTTGTGCAATGGTTCATCAGTAATGATGAATGTCACAAACAAGATAGTAGCCAAAGAAAATAAGAATGCCACAGCAAGCAGGTCAGTCCCTGTGGGTTCTGGCATGCTCGTACCAGACATTTGCTGGCCTTATTATCTTTCATTCTCCTGGTAATGATTTGGAGCTTGTCCAGACCTGTGTTATCTGAAATGTTTGTGTTGAAATCCAGCCCTCACTGCACCAGCTCAACACTAAATGTAAATGTACATTTTTCTGTGAAGAATTGTGAGGATGCATGGAAATGAGAATCTGGGAGTAATGTTCCCGTGTCAAATGGCAAAAAAAAAAAAAAAAAAAGGTCTTAGGGACAGCAAAATTTAGCAAATATGTTAAGAATTTAGTGTGTCTTTGTTCATTTGTAGAAATTGTTTGCATGGATGAGGGGTTGGTGCCAGGCTTAGTTATATATATGTAGAATGGGCCCACTGAAATAAATGTACCTTAAGTTGGTCATGATTGAAATTTTATTTATTTCAATGGATTAACTACTCTTAAGTATAACCTAGTCTGGATCTAGTTTAAGGTTTCCTGCTATAACTGTTTTTGTTTATATCTAACTTCATGAAGCTTCATAACAATAATTAAAAGCAAAGATCGTATTTTCATCAATGTTACATAACAAAATATTACTTGTTATTGTATATGTATAACTGCATTGTGTTATTTTCTTCTTTGTTTTCCAGCTGTAGCCGATGGTGAGTCTTTTAATAAATTAAATACTATTCATGTTTGTCTAGATCAGACTATTAAATAAAAATTGTGGGGAGTTTGGGGGGAAAAGGAGAAGGAATACTGCTGCCTAGTAGGGTGTTGTGGCCCTAGTTAAAGCTGTTCAGAATTCCTTGACTTAACTCCCTTGTTTTAGCTGTTGGAGAGCTAGCTCCTTTGTGGTTCCATTAATGCAGGCAATTCTCCATGTGAGACTTATTCAACCTGGTAGCCCCCTAATGTTTTGGAATCAGCCTCAATTACTACGACCAAATCATAAAGGAAAATGTGGGCTTTTTTCAGCAGATGTTTTTGGTCTTAAGTCTGGAAAGCACCAGGTTGAAGAAGGTGGCCCTTCAGTGTTCTCCTTGGATGGGCACTGCAAGTTATGGGTGGCTGTTTGTCTGCTTATATTAATTTAATTTCTATCCATTAGTTACTTGGCATACATTTATTTTATATGTTACTTCTATTTACATACAGTGCTCATACACACACAGACATCTATATTAGTTATATTTACGTTGCAATTTTTCTTCACTGAGCTCAAAATGGTGTATGTGGCTTGCCCTGTGATGTATGAGGAATATTAAAACATCTCCTTCTCTGTCTTTTAAAAAAATATTTCCTAACCAAACCAGCAAAATTCTAATATCATGCTAGGTTGAGGCATTACCATTTTGATATGCCATTTTCAGTATCCTTTTTTTAAAAAAATAACCAAGAAAAGAAGGAAACTCACCCCAGCCCTTTGAATGATGGCTGCCGGAAAAGGCTGGGAAGGGGGCCATGTTGACTCCCTGGTCAATGCCCCCCCATAAGGAAGTGCAGCCCCTGCAGGGTCCTTGCTGAGGAGAAAGGGGGGGGAGAGGAGGGTCTTATTATTTCCTTTCTATCTCCCTAGCCATCACCCTAAAGTTTTCTCGTGCAGCAGCTGTCCTCAGCTGCTCTTCTTGCTGCCTCCTTACTTGTCAGTAAACCAAATAAATGTATTCATGAGTAAACTGGGTAAATCTTGCTCTGTGGGAACCTGTAGCACCTAAGAGGACCCATAGCAGAATCTCCAGAAAGGATTGCTCAAGTGAAAGTTAAAGTAGATCACACGTAAGATAAGAATGTTTTAAGCATGAACTGGACAGAGCCAAATTTCTCAGTGTGGACGGGCCTGGTGTGATCACACAGGGAAATAGATTGTATTTTGGAGCACTTGTGGTGCAGACTGTTGTGATTTATTTCCTGGTGACCACATGATGCATGGAGAACTGCATTCCAGTCTGACTCCAATCCATGGCCAAGCTTTGTCCTGCTGTAGGGCTACTGTTTTCTGGAGCTAAGATGGGAGGAATTCCCCAACAGACAGAAGGATTGCTTAAAGGGAGATTGCTCACTGCAAATCAATCCTTTCTGATACAATCAGACACACATCTTTTTAATCACCTGATCACCCCCGCCCCAACCACACAAGTAGGCCCACTAAAACAATGGAAATCTGGTGAACCAATTCCTTTGTAAGTTCCATTGATTCAGTGGGTCTAACCTGAGTTGCAGCCTACAACTGGATTTCAACCACAACACGCTTATTTCTCCTTCAGAGTCTATGTGAAGCACTCCAGTCTTTCATTTAAAAGTGGACACAGTGAAATGGGCAACTATTTCACATACATTTGAGTGATGTCTTTCAAAACCACATTTGTATTGCTATAATTAATTAAAGAACCATGCTGTTGAACTTATTGGAACTTACCTCTTGCTAAACTTTCAAGGATTTGTGGTCCAATTGACTTTAATCCCCACTTCTTCCATAAGAATGCAATTTAAAATGTGGGAGAACATCCCTTATTTTAATCATCCAGATGTGGGTACAAAAATTACTAAAGGTATATCTGCACATATCCTATTCTTGGATAGGACAAAGCCAACCATTTTGGGGGAAAGGGGATTAAAAGCTTCCAAATGCTACCCATCCAACACAATGTGGGATCAAGCTTGAAAGATCAAGAGGAAAAATGTGAGAAAGAGATTCACTTCACAGGCAGATTGCAAAAGCTGTTCTGTGGGAAGGGATGGCTGGTACCAGATGTGCGTTCAATGGGAAGCAGCTCACAGATATACCTGTGGAGGAGCTCCCCTCTCCAACATGGTATTACCCATAAAGAAACCTTCAGCCTGCACAACTGTGATGCAGTGCCAGTGGGTACTCTAGGAGGGGGAACTCTGCAGCCGCCAATGCTGCTTTCCAAGTCTTTCTTCAGCACAATAAGGTGACATAAACTGGGGTACTTTTAAGCTCCAGCTTGAATTTAAGAACAGTAAATGTGTAGCTTATGTTCAAATAAAATGTAAACAGTTTTCCTCATGTATCCAAGAAATTAATTCAGATGGTTAATATAGTTTATTTCTAGCTCATACTGTTAATCTCCCCTCTAGGTATACAAAGCAAATCTTCAGCATTTGAGTGGTACACAATAACTATTTATTTTTATGTTTTCTAAAAGAGATTTATGTGCGGTTGGGAGGAGGAGTCAACAACTGTACTGGCCAGGTTGAAGTTTACTACTTTGGTGGCTGGACTGGTGTTTGCAGTGAAGAATTTGACCTCATCGATGCTGAGGTGGTTTGCAGGCAGCTAAACTGTGGCTGGGCACTTGGTACCACAACGGAGGACCCTGGGGACGTTTATCCTTACTTGAGCAATGTGCGCTGTGAAGGCTATGAACACTACTTATGGCAATGCTATTTTCAAGAAGGAGGATGCTATAGCAACACAGTGGCTGGCGTGGTTTGTTCAGGTATACTACATTTTCTCTTTGCCTCCTGATTAATGACACAGAGAGAATTATCAAGCTAGAAATAACAGAATTCAAAGGCATCTCATGGTTGCTAGGGTCCCTGGAGCTGTAGAATTGAGTGGAATTCCCCTTCTGAGGTCTAAGGAGATCTGACCTTGGAAGAGGAGACTTGGTCTTGGAATCCCCATTTCTGGTCTCTCTCAGGAAAGGTGAAATGAAGCAGAGGTAAGAGGCAGAAAAGGGGGGAAAGACCACTGTGTTTCAAAGTGCCATTTGGAAGAGTAAATATTTTCAATGAGTACAGAATATGTTCAATGAGTACAGAAGCTTGTACAAAATGCCTCATGTTTGTTCATTCATCATATTTGTTTCTTGACAGATTCTGGACTACCAGCACCATCAGGTAATTTAAAAATTATATTATCTATGGAAAATAGTTAAGCAATGAATGTGCAAACTAAACTACAAATGAGCCACTGATTTCAGCTTTATATGCATTGTGACACTGTCTGTGCATTTGTGTGTGAGTGAATTTAACTGCTGCCCATATTTTCCACTTAGCTCTGGAAAGAGCCACAGCAGGATTGAATACCCATGCTAAAAGTCATTCAGCTTATTTTCTGTCATTTGCATCACTGTTTCCTATGTAAGAAATTTGCCCACTGACATGTCAGCCCAAGTAATCCATATCTGTTCCCGACCACTCCCACCACTAATGAAGAGATGAGGTAACAGAAACTTTCAATTCTAGCTGATTTGTGGATACAATGAGGTATTGGGAATGTTGTTAGTGCTTCTGCATTCAGTTGATGGCTTATTTGTAATGCTTGAAAATTGTTTGGTGCATGAAGGCCAAACAGTTATCACAGGAAAAGATTCTTGGCCATTGCCAGCCTCAAGAGTCTACCTCACCATGGAAGGGCCTGGCCAGGCAGCTCTTTGCATATGTTTATATTCAGATTTTGAATGAATGTGTTATTGGCATCACAGACAAAAAAAGTACTTGAATAAGGGGTTAGAGTACAGCATCTTGTCTAGCTGAGGGTGGAGGAAGAACCAATTTCGGAAGAATTATGTCTTGTGGCTTTAGATATTATTTTATTTTTGTTACTCCTCTCATGATCAAATCAAAATCTATATAGCTAACCTTAAGGAAATATTCAAGAATCTAAAACATGAGCTGTCTCAGTAATCATCACAAACTGTTCCCCAAGCTCCTTTGCAATTACATTCAACATGGCCTTCACATTTATATGATCCACACACCAAGCTTAAGGACACATTTCAGAGAGGCAATAGGAAATAACTTGGTGAAGAGTGTACTGTTTCCAGTGGGATCCGAAACAACTAGGCAGGAGAAATATGGGTTTGTCTCTTCCAGAACTAACTGTAATATATTCAGGTATCTTATGAAAGAACAAGAACTCTACCTTTCCATTCCAGAAAAACACAGAAGCAACAAGCTGGAATTCAAGAGAATTCTGGCTTATCAAGGATGGGTTGATGCATGATGTTTAATTGCTCCCAGTTGCTGAGGGAGTATCTAAAGAAACCACAAATGTTTAGGTCTGCAATTTGTTTGGACTGATGCATGCATGAAAATAGCAGAAATCAGCTCTCTGGTTTGACTTGCCCCAACATTCCAGAGATAGAATCCAGGATATATTGTTTTAGTATTAATTCTGTGGTTTGTGAGGAAAGTCAGACCTTTAAAACACACCCTATTGCTTCCTCCTATTCCATGTGGACACAGATGTTTGTTATTTTCCCCTACCCCATTTCCAGGGTTGGAGGAAATTACTTTTCTCATCTACAAACCCACACTCCAATGGCCATGATAATTCAGGGATTTTAGGAGCTGTAATCCAGAAGTTTACTGTTTCAAATGCCGCACATTTTATCCTCCCTCCCATGTTATCATTGTTTGCCAGTGCCAGATGGTTATTGTCCTCTTCTGGAGAAACTGTACAAATAATATCTTGGTGGGGCGAGGGAGTAGTTGCTTCCAATGGATGATGTTGAACGTGAGAAAGAAAAACTGTATTCTATACAAGCTGCATGTCTTAAGCTAGCCTCTGGACCCAAGGTGAGGTGGGAGATGCTGTCCCATCTGTCAAAATCACTTCTCCGTAAAGAGATAATGATCTCGGAGGAGGAGTCACTGCAGGTGCAATACTCCCCTTTACTCCTTTACTCCCCAGAAGTGCATAGTCTTTGCCCTATGGACAATCTCAACCCGATAGAAAACCTTTGTCTGCTTATAAGGCAGTAAATCATTGACTGTGTGCTTCCTTAGACAGACTGACTAGGCAGGACCTCTCTATTATAGTAGCAATGAGTGACCTTCCTCCTCTCCACTGGATTTAGGAGTAAGTCTTGCTATTCAAGAGACAAGCCCTTCTGTTTAAGAATAATTGTTTTTATTAAGAAAATAAAGTAGTTTCATTAGAATACAATTGCAGCATTAATAAGGCATAAAGCATTAAGCATACCCAGTAGTTACCATGATTCAAATAAGCTTACTATTACTAGGTAAAATAAGAACAACTAGAAACTATGCTAAGTAATCATCTTTGCTCTCTCTACATGATAGCTCTCTATAGAAGCTGGGCTAACTCTCCCCTCCTTCTCCTACAAAAGACAAACCTCTCCTTATATTCCACAACATCCACCATCACTATCCTCCGTCACATACATGAACATCCATTTTTCTACATGTTTCTGGACCACATCCTTTGTGACGTTTTCAAGCTGTTAATCAATTAAGATTAAGTGGGTGTAACACAGTCCATTCCTCTAATTCACATGAGATCTTCCTGGTGGTTTATCTTGTCCCAATTAAAAGGTATGTGTTGTTTTGGCTTCCCTTGGTCTCTTTGGCCTTGCTTCTTATCTTGGTGCCAGGCAGAGCAAACCCTGAACAACAATCTCATGAGAACAATTCAGTGCTTTTAAATCCAATGTAGACAGAACCTAACAGATTCCATCTTTGTATGACTACAAGTCTCATTTTCCTTCTGTTTCCTTACACCCTCATCAATGTTAAAGTTAGATTCAATATTGCCAGTCCAGATGGGTTCTATGGGTATTTGGGGCCAGCTCTGCCAAAAGTGGTGTTCCTGCAAATGTCAACATGTGAAATTATGTCTAAATTGACCTTATGGCCTGGTTGTAGCACTGTGGATATGGTGGTTCTTTAGTGTTTGGCCATTGGGAGTGGAGAGCCTGAGTTTGTTCACTAAAGTGGCTGTGTTTGCCACTGCTTTCACCAGTGCCTGGTGGGATCTTACCTGTGTTTGATTGTGTGCATGTGTGAATAACTTTTCTGTGCATTGTGAGAATGAGCTGGCTGGATGGCTCAGTGAGTTAGATATGTGGCTGTGGAGCCAGAGGTTGGGAGTTCAATTCCCCACTGTGTATCTCAGAAGAGCCTGCTTCTGTGACTCTAGGCAAGAATGCCCCCAGAAGAAGGGAATGGCAAACCACTTTTAAATACTACATATCTCTGAAATGAGTTGTCATAAATCAGAAGTGACTTGATGGCATACAATTATGATGAACCTGAACCAATCCAAAGCAATTAACTGGTGATTTTCCATGAATTTTCTGGTTCATCTTGGGCTTTATGCCCATCTCTAGTATATATGCCAAGGTTCAATATTTGATACATACATACACCTTTGCTAAATAAATTAGTCTTCAACTTAGGCTTGTGTTAACATCATATCTTCCTTCTACCATGCTGAAATCAAGAAGGAAAATCTTCAGAATATCAGTAATTTTATTTTCATATTTAGATAAAGCTCAACACTTTTTGGCTATGTATACTTTTCAATGCTTTCTTAAAGAGATGTTTAATTACATAGAATTGCTTAGAAATAAAAAGGTAACTGAAGGCTCTACTTCTATATCTATATATTTATACTTTCCAAACTTTGAATAGGCAAGCACAATTTTTTACAGGCTAGTAAATGTTGTGGGCTTAGCCATATGGCAGAAAGAAAGAGAAGTGTGCTAACAGATTGACTTCACTGCGGATATTAAGAAGAGATTTAGCAGTACAGTGGTGCCTCGCATAGCGATCACTCCGTATAGCGACGAAAGCGCTTAGCGACGCCTTTTTTGCGATTGCAAAAGCAATCGCTTTGCGATGTTCCCTATGGGGAAATTTTGCTTTGCGATCATCGCAGGGAAGCGATCATCGCAAAACCCCCATTTTCGGCCAGCTGATCAGCGGTTTCAAAATGGCCGCCGGGTAAACAAAACGGGCGCCTGCTGTTTTCAGGCACGGATGCCTCGCTTTAGAGGCACTGAAAATGGTGGCGCTATGGAGGATTTTTGCTTAAAGGTGAGTTTTAAGCCCATAGGGACGCATTAATCACGTTTTAATGCGTTTCTATGGGCTTTTTATTTTCACTTAGCAATGTTTCTGCATGAATTAACATCGCTAATGTTTTGTGATGAATTGGAGTGGCACAAAAAAATTGAACCAGAGTATTAAAACATGTGGGAAAGATACTAAAGATTTTCTGTTTGTTTTTCAGCCTCAACCACTACAACAGGTAACAACGCTTTTATTCAAAGATTCTTTAGTTCCCCTCACACATTCACCCCAATGCAGAGAATTATAGAAATCTTTCACATTTATAAATCTTCAAGATTAGAAAAGAAGTGATAATGTAAAAAAAACACAAACAGCTATTAGAGTAATAAATCATTTTACTTGACAAAAGCAATGTCCTCAATCAAATAGAGTCAAACTATTTTGCAACTATTTGAAAATTGTCAACGGTAAGCCAGAAGTTACTTCACAAAAAATTAGGGAGATACTTTCAGGTTTTGCATCCAAATTCCTGACTATAGATTTTAGAAGTATATAACCTAGATAGAACTGGTGAAGTTTAAACACACCCCCATCTACTAATTTGTGAACTGAAACCCAATTTGAAAAAGAAATTTCTCAATTTTTTCAACTAAAGTGGGGATTACTGTTGGGGATGAGGCCAGTTTGGATATATGTAGACAACATATAAAAACAAAACAGCCTTCTTTCCTTTCAGGAAAAAGATGATGTCTTTTGTATGGACTTATCTGGTGACCTTTGACCACAGCATGGTTGGGAAGCTCCACAACCCTCTTCTTCCTCTTCCTCTTGCATCCACTTCTTTTATATATTCATTACTTAATAGAGACGGATGCATGTATGTTGTTAACTTCTATAAATATATATAGTATGGCATGAAACATTATGGAGGGTGGAGAGCAATATCTGGATGCCTTCAGGTTTTGTGCCAAACTCTTGACTGTGGTTTTTAGAAGGCTCTGAAGAGGCGACACATTCTTCTATCTTCTCATTAAAAAGCGGGGACACTGTATGAGATAAGGCCTGTTTGGATATATCTAGATATTACCTAAAACAAAACAGGCCTTTTCCCATTGAGTAAAGGACCATATTCTTCATATGAGCTTATCTGGTGACCTTAGACATGATAGACTTGGGAAGCTCCACAATTCTCTTACTACTCCCCTTATTTCAACCTCTTTTTATATACTCAATATTTAATGAATATGTATACTTCTAGATATGTTTTAGGCTTCTATATTGATGTTGTGCCTATTTTTAATGCTATATATTTATCTTGTAGAGTCAACAACTTCTACTACAGGTAATTTGGATATGTTTGCTATTGGTGTGCAACATGGGTTTCCACTTCCTTACATTAGAACTGTACTTGTTCACTAGGAATGGGGAGTAGGTGGCAACCTGAGAGATTCCGTTTGAATGGGAACTGTGTTCTACAAGGAAAAGGTTAAAGACCTTTTTCTCTGCCCCCACCCCTGTTCTCCTTCCAACACCTTCCTCCCATCAATGAACTTTCCCAGAGGTGAACACAAAACATGTTTAATAGGCTGTGTTTTGCCAACCTCATCCATCTCTATGGACTGCGGTATGTAGAATATGGCTGCCCTTGCTATATCCAAATTTAATTGAGAACCCCAATTCAATCAATATTTTTATTTTTTGGTAATTTTTATACTAAACAAATTGATAAAATATAACATTAACATTCTATCCACACAGATTACATACAAAATAATATAACACAAAACTTAGTGCTCCCTTCACCCTGGGGAGCATTAGATTTTACTGAAATGTTTAACACTTATAAAGTTAAAGGTAAAGGTTCCCCCTGACAATTTTTTTGTCCAGTCGTGTTCGACTCTAGGGGGCGGTCCTCATCCCCGTTTCCAAGCCATAGAGCCAGTGTTTGTCCAAAGGCAATCTTCCGTTGTCACCTGGCCATTGCGACTTAGACACGGAATGCTGTTACCTTCCCACCGAAGTGGTCCCTATTTATCTACTTGTATTTGCATGCTTTCGAACCGCTAGGTTGGCGGGAGCTGGGACAAGCGACGGGAGCTCACTCCGTCGCGTGGATTCGATCTTATGACTGCTTGGTCTTTTGACCCTGCAGCACAGGCTTCTGCGGTTTAGTCCACAGCGCCACCACCTGACCTTCAATCCATCATTGAACTGCCCCCCATCAAAAAATGCATATAATTTTAGTTCAGCTATTTCCCCTTTCCTTGACACAATATAGTATTTGTAAATTCATTCAATATTTTGTTAAAGCCATTTGTCTTAAACTCTCCTTTTTTGAATTTAATTTCTGAAGTCAATTTATCGTTAATTCAATATTCTAAATTTCATTATACCATTCATGCAATTGGAAAAACCAATTTTGCTTCCGTTTTTTAATAAGCCATCGTGCTGCTGTTAACATATTCATTATCAATATAATCTCTCTCCCTTTTACATTACTTATGTCATCATTTTCTATTAAAAATAATAGTGCTGGTTTTTGTGTCATTTCAATATCAACTTCCAATATTTCTCTGATCTCTTAAAAAACTCTTAAAATGTACACCATACATTTTATATCACTTCACAATTCTACCATAAATACAAATATGTTCCAAATTCTTTGTCACATTTCCAGCATTTCTTAGAATAATGAGCATCTGTAATTAATTTTATTGTTGTTAAGTACCAACTCCATATTATTTTATACCCATTTTCTTTTATTCTGATTTACATGTTTTTTAAAACCCTTTCCTTCCAAATTAGATAAAGAAGATTGGGAAAAAAATTGGAAACTTCTCCCAACATCTGTCTCCCATAACTGATCCTTTTCTTTTGTTAAATATCTGTATAATATATATATTCTTCTTTCCTTTTCATTCTCCATATTCTTTATAATATTTTCAAATGTTGTCAATTTCCTGTCTTTAAATCTAAAATTCTCACTATGTATTTTACATTTTCTTGGACTGAGTGGACCTAGCCAATCTTTTTGAGTTTTTGTTGTTACTTTCATAAAATTTGCTTTTCAAATAATAAATTTTGTTGTACCTTTTCTATCTCATTTAAATGCAGAAGAAATCGATTTGGTGATATCTCCACATTTTGAAACTCTTTTCTTTTTGCCATAATTTCCGTCAAAACCTTTCTCTCTGCTCTTTGTATATCTTTTCTCTAAATCCTTAATTGCTTCCTGTAACTTCGCCTTATTCTGTTATTTTTGTTTCTTCAAATCATATGAATGTTTTATACTTAATCTACCCCTTAAAGATTCCATAGTATCCCATACTATATTCATGTCATTACCCCCGAGTTCATTAATTTTTTTGTACTTCTTTTAATTCCTTTTGCATTTTTTTGTATAACCATTTTATTTTTCAATATAATTTAATCAATATGAATGCCGTATACATATGGGTTGATTTAAGGTGGCTTAATTATCTTGGGTACATATATAAATAAAAATTATTGTATTATTTTTTAATTCACAGCAAATTATACTTGTGGTGGTGACTTCTTCTCCCCATCGGGGTCTTTCAGTTCTCCCTCCTACCCAGGAAATTATCCAAACAATGAAAATTGTGTATGGACATTAAGAACTTGGAATGACTACCGATTCAACCTCACATTTACAATTATTGAGTAAGTAGAAAGAAAGACAACAGTGTTTCAACAGGGAGAAATGTAAGGTCCTACAGCTAGGCAGAAAATGAACTGCACAGATATAGGATGGAAGACACCTGGCTAGGCAACAGTACCTGTGAAAGGGATTTAGGAGTCTTGGTGGACCACAAACTGAACATGAGTCAGCAGTATGATGCGGCTGCCAAGAAAGCCAATGTGATTCTTGGTTGCATCAATAGAAATATAGTGACCAGATCAAGGGAATTGATAGTGCCACTCTATTCTGCTTTGGTCAGACCTCACCTGGAGTATTGTGTCCAGTTCTGGGCACCTCAATTCAAAAAGGATGTGGACAACCTGGAACGTGTCCAGAGGAGGGTGACCAAAATGGTCAAAGGTCTGGAAGCCATGTCCTATGAAGAGTGGCTTAGGATGCTGGGAATGTTTAGCCTTACAAAAAGAAGGTTGAGAGGGGACATGATAGCCATGTTTAAATATTTGAAGGGATGTCATGTTGAAGAGGGGACAGGTTTGTTTTCCAGGGCTCCAGACACTAGAACACGGAGCAATGGTTTCAAACTATAGGAAAAGAGATTCCATCTGAACATTACGAAGAATTTCCTGATGGTCAGAGCTGTCCGGCAGTGGAATATGCTGCCTCAGAGTGTGGTGGATTCTCCTTCTTTGGAGGTTTTTAAGCAGAGGCTGGATGGCCATATGTTGGGTGTACTTTGATGGATGTTCCCGCATGGCGGAGGTTGGATCTGATGGCCTCAGTGGTCTCTTCCAACTCTATGACTCTATGAGTGTTGTAAAACAGTAACTCATTTAATGCAGAAGAAATTGATTTGGTGATATACGTATCATGCTATGCCTATGCAGAGCTAATTCATATTGATAAGAATAATCCTAGAACTGCAGAACTGGAAGAAACCCCATGGATCATTGAGTCTGATCCCCATAAAGGAGGCACAGTGGGGAACTGAACTATCAAGCTTTGCCTCCACAGTCAGATATATAAACCACTGAGCCATCGAGCAGTTTCTATTGTTGGTGCTATCGTTGTCCTACTATTTTACTTGGAAATCCCAGTGCGTAATGTACCAGTGAAGCAAGATATTCTTCCAAAAGTGTAGCATGTTTTGGTTCTGCAATGTGTACTAAGCAGCCTCATAGTGAGTAACATTTCTTTTTTCAAACTGCAGTGGTTCAAATTCCCATTCCAGTGTCATCTTGGATAATCAGATTACACATGGAAACCTGTGGCCTCTTTTGTTAGTGGTGAAGCTTGGCAAATGGGAGATATTTTCTCCTTTCATTGTCCTTTCCATCCTACCCACTTACCTTGACTCCACCAACATAGCCCTGGAGACATGTTTTTCAGCCTCTTTGGTCTGTGTAGGGGGAAAAACTCATTTGAATGGTGGGCTACAGCGGTTGTTCTGAACTTGAATGGAGGGGTTACAGCACTTGGATCCAGGGACTAAATATTAGAAAGCATTTCCTCACCCCCTACAGAGGGGTAGGGGTTTCCTAGAGTCTTCAGCATTAAAGTTTTTTGTGTGTGAAGGTAAGGGGAGGCAGCAGTAGATCAGGTTCTCCCTCTTCTGCCTTGAGACCATAACTGTCTTACCTTAGTGAGGGTATAAAATGAGTAGCTTCCAAACCCAAAGTCCAGATGGTTCAAAGTCTAAACCATATGGGCCCAAGTACCTGGGAGATAACTATTATGTCTTCCAGGTCTAGGATCCTCACAAATGATCTGTTCTTTTTGCTTCTTCAGAACAGAAACTCTTCAGAGACTCTTGATGATTCTAGGGATTTGTAATTGACTCAGAAATCGCATGGAGTTGTTTTCATCTTCTGAGCTCAAGGCAGTCTCTGTGATGGCTTCAGAGCTGTGCAGAAGTATGGATGTTAGATCTTTGTTTTGTATTGCAAAGCAACGAGCATGTGTACAGTATCTTCAGCCAACTTCCCAGCCAGACTAGAGTTGCCACCCTGAGTGTTTGTGATCTCACAGAAGTGAACTGGAGAAGGGTTGAGAAGGGGTACAGAACTACTTCTGTACCAGTTGTTTGTTGAAACTGGTACAAGGACAATCCAGGGTAATGGATTAAGAATGTGAATAGACAAGTAACATGGGAAGCCAGAACAAGAAAAGAACAGCAACTCAGTTTTCAAGTGTTCAAAGTGCTTGCCACCATTGTTATTAGAAATGACATCATACACAATATTACCTAGAGCTATACCTAAGTAGTTTTTAAAAGACCTCAGTATAATGAACCCCAGTGGCATGGCCAATTCCCACTATTTCTTCATGGTTGACCAGTTCTGCTTTTTGCAGAGGCTCATGTCCAGCATAGTATATTCCCTTGTTGCTGCTTCAGCTTTCGAGATGACAAAATTGTCAGCAAGGAAAATGACTTCATATTCTTGGCAGAGTTTGACAACTGCATTTGTCCTTTTTTTAATGTGAAGTAATCTGATCAGAAATATGTCAATCTGACTTAGAAGTGTGCAGCAGTAAGGTCACTGTTTCCCTTATACCTGAATATTCTTCAGCAGCCTTCTGGGTCTTTCATACTCCCATTCATGCAACTCCTTGCAGAAGTTCATGTATTTCACATGCTCCAACTACGTACTACTCATCCTTCCTTCCCCTTCCCACTTAATGGGAAATATCACAACACTTAACTCTGATCCCTACAAAAAACAGAAACAAAAACTAAGAAGCTTTTATTTTCAGTACAGTATTTTTCTCAGTATTTTACTCAAGGATGGGAGGGAATTACCAATCACAACATCAGGTACATAATGGATAAGCCCTGAGTTTCAGTTTTAAGTTGTGTGATTACAGAGGTTTCCTTTTTTTTAATTCCAGTACCGAATGTTGGTATGATTATGTTGAAATTTATGATGGATATCTCAATTCACACCTCCGTGGAACATTTTGTACTGGTTCCAACCTTGTATTTACTTCCACATCAAACGTTATCACCGTGCGGTTTCATAGTGACTCTTCTGTGACCAGAAGAGGTTTTAATGCCTTCTACTCTTCATTTTATTTGCCGTTTGGTGAGTATACGTATACATAGATACACATACATACATCTGAATGTGCGAATCTAGTTCATGTTTATTTTTTTTAACCTTTGATTCTGTTTCTAATAATAGACTCAAGCTTCTCCTATTGTAAGTTAGTCTTACAGGAAGAACTCATATATTTAGAAAGCCATTTCATAAACCATAATACAAATTCATGGATGAAAAAACTGCTTTTAACTGTAAAGTGACTTTGGGGTGATCCTACATAAAAATTATGAGGATATATGCCTTGAATCAGTGGTTTTGCAGCATTCTTAAAGGAACAGAAAGCCAAGCTTTACAAAGGGACAAACAGCTTTGTCAGCAGATTCTACCTCTCCCTTACCACAGCAGCAGGAGCAGCGAGTGGCCACTGTGAGGATGGGGAGTGGGCACAGGACAAGGCCTCAATTGCAATGACTTTAAAAGCCCATTTAGCCCTCTCAAATGATATATAACATAGCATAAAACCAAATTAAAAGTATTCCCAGGAGGATGCACACACCAATCCAAATACCATATGACTATCATGTGATTTCAACCTAACTTGAAAAACCCAATCCAGCTACTGATCCATTTCATAGTGTTACCCTGCTCTAAGTTTTGCAAGCCCTGAACAGATGGATACTTTGTTTTTTTTACAAGCCAGGAAATTTTGTGGTCTTAGCCACAAGGCTGAAAGAAAGAATGGTCTCTCAGCACACTGACTACAATGTGGATATTTGGAAAAGATTTAGCTGTACATGTTCTGTAATGAATAGGGGTAGCACAAACAATTGGGATCAAAGATTAAAATATTTAGGAAAGGTAGTAAAGTTTTGTGCCATTTGTTTTTCAGGCTTCAACACAACAACAACAACAACAACAGGTAATAATACTTTTACTAAAAGATTCTTTAGTTCCCCCATCCGCCAAGGCAGGGCACTACAGAAATATTGAATACGTACTTATAAACATTCAGGATAAGAAGAGGAAGAGCTGTTTGATGAAATTGGGTGATCTGTTAGATCATCTTCTTTTGCAATTGAGTAAAATGGTGCTCCCTGTCAGGTAGCTCAGTTAAGATATATGAAAACTGTGGATTGAAAGCTGAACAATACTAAATGAAACTTTGGGTGGACGGAGAGCAGTCCGGATGCTTTGAGGGTTTTTGCTGAAACACTTGACTGTGGTTTTAAGAAAGGAATTATTTGGATGGAGCCTGCGAGGTTTGGGTTTTTCCACAGCTTCTAATTTTTCTACTTAGCTTCAACTTGAAAAAGACACCTCAATCTATCTTCTCATTAAAAGGGGATAATTATTTTCTAATATATGGCCTGTTGGATATATCCAGCAAACATCTAAAAACAAGACAGAAAAATACATGTCTTTCGTATGAATTTATCTGGTGACCCTAGACATGATGAAGCTGCAAAGCTCCACTACCTTCATTTTTTTCCACTCACTTTTTATATGCTTTATATTTAATAAGTGTGTATATATCTAGATATGTTTTTATGTTCCATGAGTATCTATTGATGTGTGTGTTTGTGTTTTTTATGTTATATATTTATCTTGCAGAGCCAACAAGAACTCCTGTTACAGGTAATTTGGATATGTTAACTATTTAAGTGTAATATGGGTTTCTGTTGCTTTTTTTTTCCTGGTGCACATTTGTTTAAAAAACAAAACAAAAATATAGATTCCTTCCATATCCTTGATACTGCAGATGATTTCATAAAGAAGACTCATGGTTTAGCTATATAACAACAACAACAGCAACAACAGCAACAACAGCAACAACAACAATAATAGTATCACTGAAACCTGGTGGGATAAAACTCATGACTGGAATGTAGTTAGTGGGGGGGCCTCCATAGCCTGAGCCATTTTCGCGCCCTCCCCTCGCAGAACGAGGGCACCAAAATGGCTGCCATCAGCTGTTCGGCGGGTCAAAAATGGCCGCCGGAGCAGCCGAAAGGGGCCGAGGTGCAGCGTTTTCGCGCCCTTGGTAAGCAACGGGAGCGTGCGGAAACGCTGCCGGAAGCCCCGAAATGGTTGCGCGCAGCCATTTCGGGGCTTGCGCAGTGTTTTCGCGCGCTCCCCTTGCTTACCAGGGGCGCGAAAATGCTGCGCCCCGGCCCCTTTCGGTTGTTCCGGTGGCCATTTTGGACGTGCCGGACAGCTGATTGGCGGATCGCAAAGCGAAGGTCAGTAAGCGAGCAGCTTACCGCCCTTCGCTCTGTGAATTGTGCCCTATCTAGGTGCCCTTTTGCGATCGCTTTTGCGATCGCAAAAACGGCACCGTTGCGCGGATTCGTCGCTCTACGGAGCGACCATTCTGCGAGGCACCACTGTATTATGATATATGTTGGTGGTCAAAGTCTTCCATGAACATAAGGTCCAGCAAATTCCTCATTTGCCTTGCAGACAATTTCATGGTCCAGAAGGTGGAAGTGGCAACAAGGGGATCAGTTATTTTAGATCTGATCTTAACCAACAGGGATTACCTTGTTAATGGGGTCGAGGTGGTGAGATCCTTAGGTGGGAGTGACCACTCTCTCTTGGAATTTGTCATACAGTGGGAGAGGGAAGGCCAAGTGCAGCCAGACATTCATTCTAGACTTTAAGGAGGCCAATTTCAGTAAACTTGGGGAATTACTAGCTGTACTTCTATGGACAAAGATACTGAAAGAGAAGGGAGTTGAGGATGAATAGGAATTTCTTAAAAGGGAGATACGAAAGGCACAATCTAAAACTGTTCCAATAAGAAGGAAAAACACGAGATGTCTAAAGAAACCAGAATGATTGACTAAAGAACTTTCAACTGAACTAAGTGTTAAAAAAATACAAGAAATGGAAAAATGGGGAAAACACCAAAGAGGAATACAAGCAAATAGCCAATATATGTAGGGGGAAGGTAAGAAAAGCAAAAGTGCAGAATGAACTCAGGCTTACTAGACAGATTAAAAACAATAAAAAGGGTGTTTTTAGTTATGCCTGCAGCAAAAGGAAAAACAAGGAAATGATAGGGTCGGTGTGGAGAAGATGGCCAACTACTAACAGAGGACAGGAAAAGGCTGAACTTCTCAACACCTTCCTCACCTCAGTTTTCTCCGAAAAGGAAAATAGTGCTCAATCTGAGGGGTGAAGAGCAGGTGATGTAGTGGGGGAAATGCAGCACAGAATATGTAGAAAAGTAGTACAGGAATACTTGGCTACTCTAAATGAATTCAAGTCTCCAGAGCTAGATGACGTACTGTACATCCAAGGATATTAAAAGAACTGGCAGAAGTAATTTCAGAACCATTGGCAATAATATTTGAGAATTCTTGGAGAACAGGAGAAGTCCCCACAGACTGGAGGAGGGCAAATGTTGTCCCTATCTTCAAAAAGGGGAAAAATAAGACCCACATTATTATTGCCCAGTCAGCCTGACATCAATTCCCAGAAAAATTCTAGACCAGATCATTAAACAGACAGTTTGTTATTACTTAGAAAGCAATGCTGTCATCACTAAAAGTCAACATGGGTTACTCAAAAACAAGTCATGCCAGACTAATCTGATCTCTCTTTTTTTGATAGAGTTGCAGGCTTGATAGATGAAGGGAACACTGTGGATGTAGCATATCTTGATTTCAGTAAGGCCTTTGACAAAGTTCCCCATGATATTCTTGTAAGGAAGCGAGTAAAATGTGGGCTAGACAGTTCTACTGTTCAGTGGATTTGCAATTGGTTGACTGACTGAACCCAAAGGGTGCTCACTAATGTCTTCTCTTCATCCTGGAGAGAGGTAACTAGTGGGGTGCCCCAGGGTTCTATTCTGGACCCTGTGCTATTCAACATCTTTATCAATGACTTGGATGAAGGAAAAGAGAGTATGCTGATTAAATTTGCAGATGGTACCAAATTGGGAGGGGTTGCGAATTTCCCAGAAGACAGGATTTAAAATTCAAAATGACCTTGACAGATTAGAGTCCTGGGCCAAAACTAACAAAATGAATTTCAACAGGGAGAAATGTAAAGTCCTACACCTAGGCAGAAAAATTGAACTGCACAGATATAGAATGGAAGACACCTGGCTAGACAACAGTACCTGTGAAAGGGATCTAGGAGTCTTGTTCAGCAGTGTGATGCAACTGACAAGAAAGCCAATGTGATTCTTGGTTGTATCAATAGGAGTATAGTGTCTAGATCTAGGGAAGTGATAGTACCACTCTATTCTGCTTTGGTCAAACCTCACCTGGAGTATTGTGTCCAGTTCTGGGCACCTCAATTCAAAAAGGATGTTGACAACCTGGAATGTGTCCAGAGGAGGGCAACTAAAATGGCTAAAGGTCTGGAAGCAATGTCGTATGAGGAGCGGCTTAGGGAGCTGGGAATGTTTAGCCTTATAAAAAGAAGGTTAAGAGGGAACATGATAGCCATGTTTAAATATTTGAAGTGATGTCATATCGAGGAAGGGACAGGTTTGTTTTCCAAACACTAGGACAAGGAGCGATGGTTTCAAAGTACAGGAAAAGAGATTCCACCTGAATCTCAGGAAGAAGAGCCAGAGCTGGTCGGCAGTGTGTTGGGAGTCTCCTTCTTTGGAGGTTTTTGAGCAGAGGCTGGATGGCCATCTGTCGGGAGTGCTTTGATGGAGTTCCACTCAATGCCCCTGTGGTCTCTTCCAACTCTATGATTCTATGATAATAATAATGTGTCATCAAGTCAATTCTGACGTGGTGACCCTTTTCAGGATTTTTCAGGTATATATTAGGAATATTCCTATGTGTACCAACTAATGAAGTTCTGATATCTACAAGGGAAAGCATGAGCATTCCAAGACACAACAGAGTTGATTGATGATTTTTCATTAACAATAAATTTCAGATAAAGAAATGCCTTTTTACAGCAGCTCTACCTAGCATGGAGGCAATGGAGATCATATTTCCTTCTTTAGACTCAAGCAAGGAATAAATTTAGGAACAGTTGATTAGGAAGATGGTTTAAACAGTATTTACCAGAGCACAGAGTTTCAGTAGTAAATAAAAAGAAAATGAAACTCAGCTATGGGTTAAACATAGCGTGTGGTTCATTCCTCAGTTACTATAACAATGCATAAATTGTAGGTGTGGGAAGTCTCATGCTATGACAAATAGAAATAAATATAGCATTGATTAATATGATATCTTCTAAATTATTATTTGTCTATCACTTCATGCGGATGCTGCTTATTTCGATTTTTATTTAATAATAGTGATTATAAGATGAAGGCAGGATAGATAGACGGATGACCTTTTAATTAGAAATATTGGTAATCTGCTCTGACCTCTCTTTTAAGACATTTTTCTTTGGTTCTTTTGTTCTCATCACAAGAGGAAGCAGTCTTTTCCACAGACAGCAGGATCCTTTTGGAGCTTTTCTCTTTATTGATTTTTCTGCTCAACAAAACCCCCGGCAAAATGTCCCAACAGCAGTGCATAATTTGAGGGATTCCTTTTGAATAGCGACTGTATCCTACAAGGAAAAGGTTAAAGACTTTTTTCTCTGTCCCCACCTCTCTTTTCCTTCAAATGTCACACTCACATCAATGGATTTTGTCAGAAGTGGGCAAAAAAGTACATTTCACAGCCTGAGTTTTGCCTTCAGCCACATTAATCTCTATGGACCTATGGTATATGGGATATGGCTGCTATGTCTGAGTTTATTGAGTCCTCTAATTCAATTGATTAGGATGTCATTTATAGGTTGATTGATTGAGGGTGGTGTAATTATCTTAAATAAATGTATGAATAAATACTATTGTATTATCTTTTCCTTCACAGTAAATTACACTTGTGGTGGTACAATTCATCCTCCATCGGGATCATTCAGTTCTCCCTTCTACCCGGGAAATTATCCAAACAATGCATATTGTGATTGGACAGTAGTAGCTTGGATGCATTACCGAATCAACCTCACATTTCCAAGTATTGAGTAAGTAGAAGGAAAACAGTGTTTTAATCTTTTTAAGTCATTTAAATGCAGAGGAAATTGATTTGGTGATACACTTATCATGGTATGCCTAGGCACATCTAACTCATATTATTATTGGTGTTCTCAGTGTCCTACTATTTTAACTGAAAAAGCCCAGTAGGTAATGTACCAGTCACACAAAATATTCTTCCAAACAAGTTAACATGTTTTGATTCAGCAAGGTGAACTGAACAGCCTCATAGTGAGTAACATTTCTTTTTTTCCAAACTGCAGTGGTTCCAATTTCCATTCCAGATTCATTTTGGATAATCAGATTACATGTGGGAATCTGTGGCCTTTTTCTAGTGGTGGCATACTGGTGGGACATGGCATATGGGAGACATTTTCTCCTTTCATGACCTTTTCCACCCTACCCACTTACCTTGACTCCACCAGCATAGCCCAGGAGACATGTTTTTCAGCCTCTTTGGTCTGTGTAGGGAAAGAAACCCTCACTTGAGTGGAGGGCTACAGCAGTTGTTCTGATCTTGAATGGAGGGGTTATAGAGCTTGGATCCAGGGACAATATTAGAAAGCATTTCCTTACTTGAACAGAGGGCAGAAGTAGGGGTGTCCAGCTTTCCTAGGGTCTTCAGGATTTAAAGTTTTTTTGTGTGTGAAAGGAAGGGGGAGGTAGATGTAGATCAGGTTCTCCCTCTGCTGCCTTGAGACCATAACTATCTTAGCTTAGTGAGGGTATAGACTGAGTAGCTTCCAAAGCCAAGGTCCAAATGGTTCAAAGTGTTAACTATATGGGCCCAAGTACCTGGGAGATAACTATTATGTCTTCCAGGTCTAGGATCCTCACAAATGATCTGTTCTTTTTGCTTCTTCATATACTTTCATGGTCTTTTCCATCCAACTCACTTCCTCTGACTCCACTAACGTTGCCCAGGAGACATGTGTTTCAGCATCTTTGCTTTGTGTAGGAAAACACCTGACTTGAGCTGGAAGGCTATACAGGTTGCTTCTGATTTGAAGAGAGGTATTAGAGAACTTGCTTCCAGGGACTAAACATGGGAAGGCTTTTCCTCATTTGAACAGAGTGCAGAAACAGGGGTGTCAGAGTTTTGTCTTGTGTCACTGAGAAAGCCTCCCTCTCTATATGTGAAGAAGGATATTATTGGCATCCAGCCCTCTTCCCAGAAACAAAGAATTATTCTCTTCATCTACAAACTTAGCAAATCCAGTCTTGCCATGATATATCATAGAATCATAGTTCTATGATTTACTGGCATACATATTTCCTGGCATAATGTCAAAAAGCAGGAGAGTCTTCCAGACAGAGAAAAGTTCCTCCATCTTTTCTCCTCATTCCTCTCTATTTATCATGAAGGAATGCAGGACTTCCTTTAAAGCAACCTCTTCTAACTTTGCTTTTCTCCACCCTCCTCCCAGGAAAATGTGCTGAAGAGTTTTGCTTTGTTTTTGTTTTGAGGCATGGTATTCTCATGGAAGTTGATTGAAAGTTTCAGATTGAGAAGCTTTAAGGATAGAAAGGAGCTTAATGGGAAGTATCATTACTCCGATGGCTACAACAAACAGCATCAAAAAGAAACTAGTCTTTAGGAAGGGAGAAAAAACATGGAAAGTCAGGGAGTTTATCATTGCTTTTCAATGCTTTTGTCAGTGTTTGTACTGAGAAAAGACATGCATCATATGGATAGGAGGGAATTATGAACCACATCATCTGGTATATAATGGAAAAGAAAAGCTCCATCTGAGCAAGCCCTGACTTTATGTGTTAAGTTGTGTGTTCACATGGGTTTCTTCCTTTTTTATTCTAGAACAGAATGCGGATACGATTATGTTGAAATTTATGATGGGTCTCTCCCACAACATCTTGTTGGAAGATTTTGTAATGCTACCCACCTGACATATACTTCTTTGGGAAACGTTCTCACCGTGCGGTTTCACAGTGACTCTTCTGTGACCAGAAGAGGTTTTAAGGCCTTCTACTTCTCATTTTATTTCCCGTTTGGTGAGTATGTGTGCATATAGACACAAATGCATACATTTGTGTGGATCTAGTTCATGTTTGTTTGTTGGACCTGTGCTTCTCTTTCTAATAATAGACTCAAGACTTTGTATTGTAGTTTACACTGTAAACTAGTTTTGCAGGCGGAATTCATAACTTTAAAAAACTATTTAAAAAAAACCATACAAGTTCATGAAAGAAAAAACTACTTTTAATTTTTTTTCAAGATTTAAATTTAGTAAAAGATCCAATAGATCTAAGGGTGGAATTGAAATTCATTGAAATTCAATCTGTAATGATTCATGGGCTCTGAATGATGCAGTGATTGTGGGCACATAGCTTGGATGTGGACAAGCTGTCTCATATACAAGATCAACAATTTTTAACCAAGGTTCTGGTCCAGTTGTCCTAGATGTTGTTAGCTGCAACATAATTTTATTAATGAGAAGATTCTTCAAATTTAGCTTGGACAAAAGTGACTGCATTAATGTAAGTCTCCTGACCTCACTAATAACAGGATCTAAACCAAGACTCAAGATGGGGAAAGGGTGCCAAGGTAGAGATGATGAGAAAGTGGGGCTCTTCCTCAAAAAGGATGATTGCCAGAGGTGCCAAAAATATCCAGAAAAATGGCGGGCAAAACCCTTGCTCCCAGTTAATCAGGGATCACATAGGGGAATGTGGTGTCATTACAGCACCTGATGGATCCAACAGGATTGGGTTGTGAGATGATGGCAGTAAAAGCAAAAGAGTGTAGAAGCCAATAGGGTAAAAGTTGCCTTATTTCTTTCTGGATGAAAAGAGCAAATCTTTGCTTCCTCTATGTCCGACACAGTTTAGTGGCCTGGTGAAGAAACACTGATGAGTGTCCTGCCTCTGCCAGCTTGCTTTTCTTTGTACTGACTGTAGAGAAAAGAGTTTTCTATTCTGTAGATGGTGTCTTTTGGCCCCATGCTATTGTGGCCTTCCTCAGGCCTTGTACATGAGATTCACTGTATGTACAAGGATAGAGATCATAACGATTGAAATAGTTGCTACATATTTCCAGGAGAATGGTGTAACAATACAATCAAGAGGCTAAGTTCTCTTATAATTCTAGAGACAACAACAACAACAACAACAACAACAACAACAACAACAACAACAACAACATATTATTATTATTATTATTATTATTATTATTATTATTATTATTATTATTATTAT